CATTTTCTGACACTGCTCACACCTACACCCCAATTCAGATATTTATATCTGGTTTCAATTCACTGATCCAGTATTTTTCTAAAAACTTTACTGAAATTTACCACCTTCTCAGTAACAGGTTTTTTTAATTTAATTTAATTTATTTATTTATTTATTATTTTTGGCTGCGTTGGGTCTTCACTGTTGCACACAGGCTTTCTCTAGTTGTGGCTAGTGGGGGCTATTGCTGTGGCTTCTCTTGTTGCGGAGCACGGGCTCTAGGCACGCGGACTTTAGTAGTTGCTGCATGTGGGATCAGTAGTTGTGGCTCGTGGGCTTGGTTGTCTGCGGCACGTGGGATCTTCCCGGACCAGGGCTCGAACCTGTGTCCCTTGCATTGGCAGGTGGATTCTTAACCACTGTGCCACCAGGGAAACCCTCAATAACTGGTTTTAGTTGAAAAAGAAGTAGTCCCTATCTCCAGCTGCAGTATGATCATATAAATAATATTTGACTAAATTATACCCTCTGTGTATCTGACAAGCATAAAAGAGTTTTGCCCAGTGGCCTGAAATGTTCACCCAGAGTTTTATGGCTTGCAGGGGAACATTTAACATTTCAAAGTACATTGGAAAGGAAAGTCTAAGAGCTTTAATTATATGATTACCTTGCCTGCACAGGAAATCATTTCCTTCTAAATATTGTGCTTTATCTGTTCTGATTTTTGAATTGATGGCAAACCTTCTGGCATTTGTTTTTTTCTCTGACCCCAGGCAATTAACCACAGTAGAGGAAAACAGCTCTAAGAACTTTACCAAAATTGTGCAATTTTCTAATACAACACAAGAGGGCAGGTTTTGCTTTACTGTGAGCCTAATTCCTCTCAATCAAAATGGTCATTTGTGCTCATTACAAATTCAGGAACACCCAATAACATACAAAGTGAGTGAGTAATCAGAGTGTCTACTCTGGCAGTGAAATCTCTAGTATTTTAATAAAAAGGGACAAGTTTAAGCTTCTCTCAGTTATGTTTGGGAGACACTGTGATAGTTTTAGCTTTGTTATAAACCAGCAAAGGAGCAGAGAATGGCTAGAAGAAAGGACCAAATTCCGTCATGTTACATCCAAGAATTGATGTTGAATCATCAACGTGGCAAATAACATAAGTGGGTTAATGGTTTCTTCCAAATAGAAATACTGTTGGTGATAATATACAGAGCATCCAGGCCTTGAATAGGAAGCTTGTGTGTTTGTTTGTTTTGTTTAGCTTTCAAAATTTTTATCCTATTGCTCACAATTTTCTTGTGTGTTGCTTTCAAGATTTCATTAAACTACCTACCCAAGTATAATTAAATTCACAGGAATTATTTTCATCTTGAACTGCCATTATAAGTAAAGTATCATGTTATCTTTGAGAATTTCTTTAGTTTCACCAATGGGTCCATCCATGTAAGAAAGGCACTGATTTTGCCTGGCTATATCATTTGCCCACTAACTCCTTCCACGGAAACCAGGCTTTTAAGACATCAGATGGTGGAAGGCCCTATAATGATACTGTGAGGTCTTAACTTTCTACTCTTGTCTGTATGAATGGTAGAATTAGGGCCTACCAGTGGTGGGGAAAAGATACACCCAAGAAGAAAATATGGCTGAGAAGTAGTCCCTCATATTAGGTTGTATGGAGTAAAATTCTATCTAGCATAGGCACAACTCAAAATCTGAAAGATAGGCTGCTATTCATTTCATGGCAGCGATACAAGACCCCATTATCTTATGTTTTATCCAGTACATGTCAAAACACATGCCAGAAGCCCTGAATGAAAAGTTCTACTTTGAAAAAACAAAATTAAAAAAAAAAAGTTCTACTTTGAGATTAGTTTATGCATTCAAAAAATATTTACAGAGTAATCAGGATGAACAAGGCCCTGGAGAAATAGGAAGAGTTGGGTTTTGCCACTGCATTGAAGAGAGTAGCTATCTCCCACTGAGGGGGCAGGGGGTAGGGTAGGGGAGGTGAATTCGCTCTTTTATGTGCCTGTATCAATTAACCACCACCGTTTTCTAGCTATTTATTTAAAGTGCTTTGATACAATGGCATTGGAGCTGTACAGAGAGCTGTACAACCTGACCTCTAGGAGCTTCAAATCTAGAAGTGGAAGCGAACGCCATGTAACCATTACCTCTATTGGCTCTAATTTCCTTCTTCGGGGCGTCTCCAACAAGCTGACTGAGCTGAAAGGCTCCTCTAGGAGGAGGCTGCCTCCCTAGACAGTGACTTCAAGTGGCTTCCCTACCCCCGCCCCCACTCCAATTTCAGTCTTTAGACTTTAGACTGTAGGGACATCAGAGGTGACTCTTTACCTGGGAAAAGGGGTAGTATCTCCTTTTCCTGCCTATATCATAGAGAGCTAGGAAGTAGCAGTTGCTTAGAAACTCAATAGAAATTAGAAACACCAGCATATTTAAGGACTTCTTTTTTATTTAATTGAAGTATAATTGATATAAAATATTACACAATTTACAGGTGTACAATATAGTGATTCAGAATTTTTCAAGGTTATACTCTATTTAGAGTTATTATAAAATATTGGCTGTATTATTTCATACCTGACAATTTGTACCTCTTAATCCCCTACTTCTGTCTTGCCCTTCCTCCCTTCCCTCTCCCCATTGGTAACCACTAGTTTGTTCTCTATATCTGTGAGTCTGCTTCTTTTTTGTTTCATTCACTACTTTATTGTATGTTTTATATTCAAAGTATAAGTGATATCATACAGTATCTGTCTTTCTCTGTCTGACTTATTTCACTTAGCATAATGCCGTCCAAGTTTAAGGACTTATTTTCAAAAGTGAAGTAGTTATTATGTATTTTATGTATATACATAAAATTTCATGTATATATCGAGTGCCAAAAAGATGGGAATTGATGTTCACAAATTAAGAGACAATAGCCCCCAACAGACGAACAATAATCTGCAAAACAATTTTTATTTTCCTCTTGAGTAAGTTTTCTACTTCTTGTTCATGTGAGATTAGAATTATTCATTAGGATTATTATAATTAACAATGTTAAATCCTAAGCAAGACACAAATTTATGTCAAAGAATTTTAGAATTAGAAGAGAATTTAATTCACAAAGGAAAGATGTTATTGGATTTCATTTCACTTTTGAATGTTAGCTTTTAAGAAGCGTTTCTTTTAAAATCATACTTCATATACACACAATTTTTCTAATACTACAGATAGAAGCATATAAAGCAATCTGTTCATTTTCTTCAAGGTTGAATATTTCCCCCCATCATTGAGACGTATGGCTGTACAATGCTCGGGGATATTTTCTGAGTTTATCTGCATAGTATTCACTGTAAGTAAATACCAACTTTTTACTCTACAGGTTTATTCTACCTTTAGATTTGCTGAAAGGCTGTCGTCATTGATTTATTGTAATGTTACAAAATGCTAGAAAATTTTATTACTCTAATATGAACTACAAAATTAGGAAACTATTTCTCTTAGGAAGGCATCATAAAACATAATACTTATGAAAAGTTGCACACACTATAGTTAAAAGGAGCTAAGTGTAAATGGTTAGTCTTTATTTCTGCCGCAGATAGATCTTGCTTTTAAACAAATCTTATGAGAATATGATGTATGAAAATTCTGATATACTCGAAGGATAAGCTAGAGGTGGTTATGTGCTTTATAGAATTATTCATAATAGTTTGTCCATAAAAAGTAATTTCCCCTGGTGCTTTTAATGTATAATTGATCTATACACAACTTTTCAGGAACATACCTACCACGCGCACTTATATCTTCATCTTAAGATATTTTTCTTTTGGTTTAAAAACAAGATGTAAAAATGTGTTCCCCAACAACCTTGAGTTCAGAAAATAAACCTGCCAGAGTGGACCATGTTCATAACACATTGCTGAATTTTCCATGAATTCTATTAAAGGCAGGCATTGAGATCTATGCATGTGGCGCTGGTTAGAGGTCCAAGCAGGGCTTCACCCCATGAAGGACTCTGGGCTGTCTTGATTCTCCTCTGCTGAGCCTACTCTCAGATATACTTTATGAGACTCACTCAAATTCAGTTCAGATTGAGCTCTGTCCATTTCTCTGGCTTCTGCAGTCTTATTCCGGGGAATAACACTGGGTATTGGTAAATCTTGCACCCTGTAGCCCCCCCCCATATGGAGAAGGCTCCAGGGTGCTCTTAAGCCCGATTCTTCACACACATCCATTCCAGTAGAGAGGAGCTGAAGTGAGTGGACAGAAGGGCCACCTCGGTGGCTTCACTCCTACTGCATGGATACCAGACGTGAACAGATGAAACTGTCTTAAGAGCTCAAAAAACGTTAACTCGTCAGAAGTAGGGATCATCTTGATAAGCCTAAACATTTTCGTAAAGACTGCCTCATTCTCATCTCTCATAATCTGATGATTACTTAGTGGATCCTAGCCATTTCATTCTGAATTGTCATATTTTGTATGGATGGTTTGCTTTTAAATGATAAGACGCAATTAGCATTTGTAAGTAACGTCAGTACAGGGCAGCATTCATGAATGTAAAGTCAACTCTTAAAAATAAGCCAAATGCATGAATAAGTTTTCATCTGAGGCTCCCTAGCAAAGGAATATGGACTCTGGTGATAGCTCTGCTGTTAAGAACTGCAGACTCTTTATAAACTCTGTGAAGTCGAATTTATAAAAGAGAACCGAATTGATCATTCATTCATTCGTTCTCCATCCTGTATGGAAAATAAGGCCTATTTTCATCTTCAAGACCATTTTAAAGGCTGGAGAGAACGAGAGAAAAGAAGAAAAAGAAGCCGCAGAAAGATGACCAGGAAGCCACCTAAAATCACGATGTTTACACCTAAAAGAGACCTTGGAGACTCATGTAGCACCTGCACCTTCCTGCCCCCATCCCTTTACAAATGAAGACATGTGGGCTGAGGAAGATTTAACCATGATCTTGTCCAGCTCTCAAATTACACTGACCTGCAAATTTCAATGAATCCACTCTATCGATTTTTGGGGGTGCTCTCAGAACACGAAGAGGCTTAATCAAAATGAGGAATTATTAACAAATACCACCAATCATCATCAGCTCTACCTTTGTTTGATGGTAGAGACACCCTCAAGCACTTTAGCTTGTTTGTGAGATAAAGAAAGCAAACCAGAAACTACAGCTAAGCGTCTTCCGTATTTGGGATCACCACAACAGGAGGAGCTACGCCAAAGATCTTCAACAAAAGGAAAAACAGTGAGGATTCATTTGCTCACTGTCAGTGTCAGAACTAAGCCTTGGCCAGCCTCTTCTCTAGGGTAAGGCGTGAGCATCTAGGCTTCTTCTGTGTATCTCTTCTTGCTTAATTGTGTCTCCATTAAGGGTGTATATCCTTTTCGGACTCTTCTATATTGAAGGAGAAGCAGCAGTGCAAAAAGACCAACCAAAACCACCAGCATCCCCATAAGCACTGAGAGGGTTGTGGTCCAATCTGAAGTTTCTTCAACTGAAATTAAAGCAGAAGAGAAGGGTCTATGATTGGGATTTTCATCGGCTGAATACTCTTAGACAAGGGAAGAATAAACCTATTAGCCTTTCACATGCACTTTTGTTGATAAAGCAAAACTACACTGGCCGGAATAAAATTTATCTTCTCCTTCCTTACCGACTATTTATCATATCCACAATTGTTTTTCTGGAGGAAGTGGGAAATGGCATTCCATTATTTGAATGTAGATTATTGCATTTTAAAAATTTCTTACGATAAATACTTACACAGAATAAACCCTCCAAGGAAGTATATAACTACTTTTGTGAGTTAGAAACTCATCTGTAAAAAAATGCATGCTAAAATGGTATCTGGGGAACTGCAAAATATACAACCTTCAGGTCTAGAAATTCTTCTATTGTCTCTACCTTTTTTATGGGGTGATAAGTGAGTAAGACAAATGAGATTGGCTATTATAACAGGAGAGAATCAATAGCAAGAGCAGAAGGAATTTGGACCCATTTAAATAGTTGTGAATAAAATCTGAATCATCACATGATAAATCCAATCCTCTATTCAAATATATTTTATAAGCACTTTTCCACAAAATTAATGGATTTCATTTTTTGTTGTTTCCTTAAAAATTATCATATCTTTGGCCAGCTGTTCTTAAATTCAGTTTCTCTGAACTGGGTTCTTGTTCTATACTCTACACTTCTCTAAATGTAAGATTGTCCTTCTAGTTGTTTCCCTCCAATCCCACAGAGGACCCTGACTCATCACAATGGTGTTTCTCCAAGAGGATTTTTACTTGTCTCCTCCTGCAGCAATCTGGCAGGATCTATTGCCATCTTCATCTTCTTAAAACACAGATTTTTATTCTGTCATTTCTTGGTTCAGGAGCCAAAAACGATTGCCTTTGTTATCGTCCAAACTCCACTGCTTAGCTTTTCTTTAGTTACTTATTATTTTTTAATTGTGGGAAAACACACATTACATACGTTTTACCACCTTAACCATTTTTAAATTAAGTTCCGTGACATTAAATACATTCATTTTTGTGCAGTCATCACCACCATCAATCCACAGAAATTTTTTCTCTCGCAAAACTGAAATAGTAATTCCCCAGTTCTCCATTCCCTCCCAGCCCCTGGTAACAACCATCCTACTTTCTGTCTCTATGAATTTGACTACTCTAGGTGCCTCATAGAAGTGGAATCCTCGTTTTTGCCCTTTTGTGACTGGTTTATTTAACTTAGCATAAGGTCTTCAAGGTTCACCCATGTTACAGCATGTGATGGGATTTCCTTCCTTTTTAAGACTGAATAATATCCCATTGTATGTATCGCCCACATTTTTTTATCCATTCATCTGTCATTGGACACTTGGGTGGCTTCCACCTTTGTCTGTTGTGAATAACACTGCTATGACCAGAGGTGTACAAATATCTCATTACTTGCCTTCAATTCTTTGAGGGTATATATATGCTCAGAAGCAGAATTGCTGGATCGTATGGTAATTCTACATTTAATTTTTTGAGGAGCTGCCATATTGTTTTCCACAGAGACTACCCTAACATTCCCACCAGCGGTGCACGAGGATTCCATTTTCTCCACACTCATCAACACTTGTTACTTTCTGCTTTCTGGATGTAGAGTGGCATCTCGTGGTTTTTGCCCAGCTTTTAAAGCGCTCAGTAACCAGGTCCTTCTCTCAAATCCAACTTTAATTCACAGTTATCTACCCAAGCCCTCCACTACAACCAGACCTTCGTCTCATGGTCCTCTATATAGACTACATGTGTCTTTCACAGCCCTGTTCCCTGCCCTTCTTCAATCTAACATGCTCCCTTCTTTCCCCCTCACCTACCTAAGACCTACCATCTCTTTAATCTAGTTCAAGACCCAGCTCCTTTCCCAAATCCCTCTCTCCCTTCTCCAACCTTTTGTTGTAGTTATGTCTCCCCAGGCAGGATTGTAAATTTCTTTGTTAAACCAATAAATGAATGTAATTTGTATCTTCTATTGAGTTAGTGCATTCTGGGCATGTTTAGACTCTTGGTCTGTACCTGTTAATTGGCTGATGCCAGAAGACATGGAAGCATGGTCAAAATGCACATTCCAAACTTTCTGATTATTATTATGTTCTATCCCAGAGAAAAGAGAAAGGTTTCAAAGAGATATCCTTAGCTGAGCAAAGAACGGAAACTTCAAATCAGTAAGCTGCAGTAGATGTAGAACTGGAAGGAAAAAGAAAGGACAGGGTCCAGGGTCTGAAAGGCTTTGAAAGTTAGAGAGACAGAGAGAGAGAGAGAGAGAGACACGTGACCTCAGAAATCATCTTGATTACTTTGCACCAATGGGGAAATGCCACCAGCAGATAGGCCGTATGTTTTGCAGCTTCTTGAAAAATTTAGAGATTTTTAAAATTGTTTTACCTTCCTTTCTCAACCTGTCCTAAGATTCTTTAAATGACACATGGCGCTATACTGGGGCCTGGGCAAATAAAAAAATATAATGCCCCTACCTACACTTATCAAAACATCCTCCCATATTTTGAACCAGGTGGAAAAGCTAACAAAAAACCTACAACTTAAAAACATGACTTCAAAAATTTCATTAAAAAAAAAAAATGTACACATGAAGCCCCGTGCAGCCCAATCTATTGGCAGGCCATTGTCATCTTCACAAACCCATTCAGCAGGTTGGTACTGGCTAACTGGGGGAAAAAAAAAATTGGTCTACTTACAAACTGATGCAGGGGTATAAAACAAACAAACAACGACAGCTGTCTTTAAATTTTTGGTAGTGTATTCATCATAGATTTTTTTGCATGAATTTGGGTATTTGAGAATATTACTCCTTAGCTCAATTACTGAGTTTTTGGCCTGCCCTTGAACTTTGTGCCTGAGTCACGTGCTGCGTCTGCCTCACCATAAGCCCAGCCTTACCTTCAGGTCCTGCTAGTACCCATCCGTAGGTGGCTAGTGTATTTTGATTTTATTGCTTAGGCATTTCAAACCACGGCCAGTTTTCAATTAATGCAAGTAGAATTGTCAAATCGGGTGTAGATACTTTCCCTGTGAAATAAGTTCTCTTAACAACTTTCAGTTTTCTAAAACAAGAGTCATCCAACCAGTCCCTTTTCTGATGTTTAATTGGTAGTTTAAAGGCTCATTTTGGTAAATATAGATACTCTATAAAATTGCCAATAAACTTAACTAGACCTGAGTACTTCAATTTAAGGTCGTGGTTTACACTAAAAAGAAAGGAAGAAGGAGAGAAAGCTTCTTTAGAAGATGAATGAATCACGCATTTAGAAGTTGCATTAGTTACCTGGCAGATCAATGGCATAGCTATAGCCAAGCTGGTCTGCAGTTAAAAAGAGTTCCTCATTAGTCACCGGAGGGAAGAAAGGAACCATGTTATACATCCGATTGTGACCAATGGGTGCCAGTTCCTGAGGCCAGGCATCCACAGGGGGATTGAATCTTTTCATCCACTCGTCAAAAACGGCATCAGTAAAGGAATGAAGGACCTGCAAGACAGTTGAACACGGTGTTAACATTGATAGGTCTGTTCCAATCAGACCAATCTGATTGGAACTTTCTCTAAAATGAAATAGGGTTGGTTCTTCTTTTTTTTTTGCAGTACGCGGGCCTCTCACTGTTGTGGCCTCTCGCGTTGCGGAGCACAGGCTCCGGACGCGCAGGCTCAGCGGCCATGGCTCACGGGCCCAGCCGCTCCGCGGCATGTGGGATCTTCCCGGACCCGGGCGCGAACCCGTGTCCCCTGCATCAGCAGGCGGACTCTCAACCACTGCACCACCAGGGAAGCCCGGGGTTGGTTCTTCTTGACATCAGGAACTTCTTGGTGACATACCCACTGGCATATTTAGTGACGTTTCCAAGGCTGTATGGCATATCTCTCCAAACAGGATTATAAACCCCTTTGTTAAGACAAATGAAAGTTCATGTTGCAGATTTAACATTGGTTTAGGAATATTTGAGGCCTTCAACAAATGCATGTTAATTATTAGGTTCAGGAAAAAAGGCAAGTGTGATGAGATATATAGTGTAGTCAATATTCAGATGATTTGGTTTTAACAAGAGAGAAAGGAAACGTGTTTACCAGTATTATAATACAAACGGATAGTTAAAAAAAAAAAAAAAGACAGAAAGAAAAGAAAAGAAAGAAAGAAAACATCCAAAATGGGTGTTCAAATTTTTCTCACCAGGAATACCCTTCTATGTGCTCATTTTATAACCCTATCATCTGAATTCTCAGTGTTATGCCAGCAAAAGTCTAAAAACATTGTAATGCACATAGTGCTGTTTTATTTTCTCAAGGAAGCTAAGTCCTTTTCAAATACAGCAATTATTACATGTTTTAAAATATTAACAGCAAAATTTCACATTTATAGTCCTGATTTTGCAGCAGGACGTAAATGTGAGAAATCAGCCCCGTGGTTAGAGGCTCTCTTTCACTCCTAGACTGTCGTTCAGGGAGCCCAGGGGCCCTGTCTGCTTTTCCTTCCCTGCTGTGTCCCTAGGGCCTGTCAACCCAGGGTTTGCTGCAAGGGGGAAGGGGGACATTTAATTCAATAAATACTTGTTAAATGAATTCGTTTACCAATTTACCAATTATAGAGCTCGTCAAATTATACTATAACTTGTTATTTGTTTATCAATTTCCCCTAACAAGACCCCTAACTCCTAAAAGCCAGAGATAAGGTCTTTTCATCTTTGAAGTGTTAGACTTAGCATACAACTTGGACAGAGTAGATGCTTAATAAGTTTCTGTTAGCTGATAACAGTGCCATGCAAATTAGTTTTATATTTTGTACAATTCAGCCAAACAGGCCTCTTTCTAGCAAGTGCTATTTCCCTCTGTCTGCAATCCTGCTCCTTCTGTTTTCTGGCATCAGAGTCTTTCAAGACAAGCTCAGTGGTCCCTGTACTGAGACATCTTCCCTGACTGCCCTCTTTTTTTTTTTTTTTTTTTTTTGCGGTACGCGGGCCTCTCACTGCTGTGGCCTCTCCCGTTGCGGAGCACAGGCTCCGGATGCGCAGGCTCAGCGGCCATGGCTCACGGGCCCAGCCGCTCAGCGGCATGTGGGATTCTCCCGGACCGGGGCACGAACCCGCATCCCCTGCATCGGCAGGCGGACTCTCAATCACTGAGCCACCAGGGAAGCCCAGTCTGACTTCTCAGTCCTTTGCACTTCTTAACCCTTTTAATTGCCTTGCCCTTCTGGCTTGTATTACTGTTGTTTATTTAGTAGATAATAGTTTCAAATCTTACCCAAAGTTTCTTGTAGTTAGTCCACCCATTCAGGCAACAGTGAGAGCTTTCTACATTCAGGATAGTAAAAAGAATCAAGTGATTTACTGAGGGGATTTTTTTCCTGAATGGACTTTTAAAGTTCATGGCAGAGACAATCATGTTAAAAACCAAAACATCAAATTGTAAGACCTGGGCTTTCACAGAGAGAAAGGATTTTCTGAGTTCTGAAATCTTGGCTTTGAGTAACAAAATTTAAACCCCGGAGGAATAAAGGCATAGAGTTTATCGCATGAGCAACAACTTGAGAAGAACACATGATAATGCTAGTGACCAATGTTTCCCACAAGAAGAGTTCAGAAACAGTTCATCTTTGAGAAGGGGCCTCAGCCCTGGAAAAGGAGCTAAGTGTTAGTTGTTGGTGTGGGTCCCTGAAAACAATATCACATGCCCTAAATCCTGGAAACTCCACATAAGGTTAAGAGGTTCCCAGAGAGGGCAATTGTGCTTCCTTCTCCAGGTGTAGCCTCTGGAGCCTGCCAGCCTCAAACAGAAGTTTTGCCTCAAGCGTGGAGACCAAGCAATAGATGTACAGTGTCTAAGTGTAGCAAGCACTGTGGGTTGCTTACCCAATAGCCTTTCTCTGCTTCTTCCACAGTAACTTCCTTTGTGTTTGGGGTGAAACAATGTGTCAAGTTATCCATGAGATTTAACTGCAAGTCATTGGATAGGACTTCTAGGACATCTCGTTAAAGGTGGTTGTCTCGCTTAAAAGTGTCCCCTTTTCATTTTCCATCTCTGCTTGCTGCTTCCTGGTACGTGGATGTGATGGCTGAAGCCGCAGCAGCCATCTTAGCAGCTAGCAAGCAAAGTTAAGAAAAGAAGCCACTCACCAAGGACGGTAAAACAGAAAGACAGAAGGTGTTCATGATGACTATGGGGCTACTATACCAGCCCTGGACCGCCTGCCACTAGAGGTCTTTTACACAAAGAGAAAAATAAACCTCTTTTTTGTTTAGGCTTCTGTAATTTTGGTTTTCTGTTTTAAGCAGCTGAACCAAATTCTAAGTGATACACAGAAAAAGGGGTGTACCAGAATGTATTTTCCAAGCAAGGCCATACAGAATCTCTTGAACTTTTAGATACTGTCTGAGTTCAAGTGAGAGATCAAATTGTGATTTACGAAAAGAAATAAGAGACTCTCAGGGCATAGAAAGATGCAGATTTAATGCTGTAAGAGGTAAATAACTGGGTGAAAGCACTAGAATTAACCCAGCACAAAGTGTAAATAATTAAGGAGGGGACAACACTCTAAAACAATTCATAATTTGGAGAAATAACAGGGGAAGAGTAAGAAGGAGAGATTATAGGTCTCAGAAGGGTTGTTAAACATTATACAATAAAAGCTCTAGTAGGAACTACACACAGAGTACCCAATTTATAGAATGTAGTAAAAAAAAAAAAAAGGCCAGTGTGTGCCAAGAAGATGCAAAAAAGGCAACAGACAAAATGCTGTGAGCAACAATATATCCAGAGGCTAGAAAGAGAAGTAGTGCAACCTGGAGACTAGGTATTTTTGATGAAGTTGTGAACATTGTTCCTCAACGAAATACCCTGAATTGCTCTTGAGAAACTAATGATATGTTTGTTGGACACAGGTTGAAAATAAGCTAAGTTAATATCTCTATAAAGGCCAAATGTAATTTGATGATAATAAATAAAAACAGAACAAAGTAAAAGTAAACTGTTGTTGACTTATATCTGCTATAGAGATTCATAGTTACATTTTGGCATTAATAATTGAGTGCTTCAGAAATGAGGTTACAAATTTCGGTATAAAACTTATTCTATCTTGTTCCAACAAAGTGTGGATAGGTACAGGAAGAAAAAAAAACCCCACTAAATTTCAACTTGCGAGGCAGTATTGAAGAAAATGTGATTACATGGGCTTTCGAGGTAAAAATTTTTAAATGTAACCCTTGCAGAAAAAGCAACTGATCAACAAATGTTGTGCTTACAGGCATAAAGAAACTTAATAAAGTACAGGGAAAGCATGCATGCCTTTCTCAAGATCATTGGAGGATAAAGTTACTACCAAACTTAACCTTCATTTAAATGGCTGCAAATTCAGATTGCGGCCACATGGAATCTCGTGATGACAAGAGAAGAGTATCTGTGCCTGGAGGAACATTACTATCGAAACCTGAGGCTGACTGAAAACACATCTGTACTTTATCAAAGACCAGCTCACTGTGGTTTTCACCACTTGAGTTCACGTATTACTATCCAGAAGATGTCATTCATAATCAGAGTGGATCTTATTGTGGTAACATGATGATGCTCTGGTCCTCTAAGAATTCATATTTGAGCATTTAAAAGTCACATGATAGACACACAGTTCCATATGAGAAGCTCTAATTTAAAACTTAAGTTAGAAGTCACAAGTAAAAAGTTGGGTCCGAATTTCTAAATGAGAGAATTCCTAATGGTAACTCCTAAAAAGCATAGCTAACCATGCTTGTTATTTTATGGTATCAATAATATTTATTTATTCTTGCCTTGTTCTGTCAAGGATTTGAAGCAGTGTATAGTCAAGATGTTGGTTTTACATACCTAAATAAGCCATATGCAATAGGCATGAAATAGTTACACAACACCCAACTTCTACTTAGCTGACTAAGCTCTCCTACAGGGACATGAGTACTCCATAGACGGCACATTCAGTGAGAGAGAAGAAACAACCAGAGAAAATGGGCATTTGAATAATAATAGTCTCCCGGGCAGTGCTCAGCCCGGATGGTGCGTGTTTCCCGTTTTGCTATAATTTTCTCTCCCTATCCTTTTCTACCCACTCTCTCACTGCATCCTGAGCAGACAGAATAGAAGGTACTTTTCAGGCATTTTGGAGGAGTTACATAGGGAAAGCACCCTTTCTGCACAAAAGATTTGTATAATAGCATTGGATACAAAATATACATATGTATACATAAAATTATACAGTATACACTGTATATAAGATATGAAAGCATGCATATAAGAAGAAATATCAAGAGCATTAGGAACTCAGTTGCTATACCCTTGAGGAAGAAAGCTTGTAGTTTAAGCATTAAATTTTGAACAGATGCAAACAGAGAACACAGGAGAGTCCTGCTATTAGTATGTCAATTTAAAAGATGTGATGTATGCTGAACTGCATACATCATAGGCAGACAATACAGGTTGAAAAGAGAGGACCAGGGTGATGTTAGAAGAGAT